ATTTCTGTTGCATTGTCTGAGAACATATTATGCTGCTTGTCTTGACTTTAAAAACTCTTCATGGCCATCCAATTCCACATTCTCACTCCCCCCTCCTCCCCCCCCCCTCCCTCCCCCCCCCCCCCCCCCAAGTTTCCCTCTGCTAGGATTTATGACTATTGTTGCCAGACTTTGATGAACCCAGACATAGATGCTCCTGAAAATTACACTTACTTCCCTTAGAATAAGGGTGGGCAACCTGTGGCTCCAGGGCTCCAGCAATCTCACTTTTCCCCCTTGTTGTGACCATGTAACCACACGAGAACTTTTCTTCGGGAGGGATCTTATGCATAGCTTAACCCTTTGGGAATGATATAATGTCTTGCTTGGGTAGAGTTATAGCAGCTTGACTCTCATAGTTTCAGCTGATTCCTTTTGGTCCTCACTGACAGTAAAGTAGAAGAACATTTTAAGGGTGTTGATTGGCTGGCTAATAGTCAATGGCATGTATTTGCCATTTGCCCTCCTACAGTAGAAACACTCCTCCTGGAATCTAGCAATGATTGATCAAGGCTGGCCTGGTTACCCAAACCTGGTTACCCTCCTCTGTGAAATGTGCAGTGGGAAAGTGGAATACAATTTATGCATCATGGCTTAGTGTCAGCTGAAGCAGAAAAAAGGCTATTTGGCAGTGCAGAAAGATCAGTATAAAAGTGCTTCAGTCTCGGACTGGGGATAAGATAAGAGCAGCACTATATGATCAAAGGGAAACAGAGTTATTGTCAGATTGGTTTGTGATGATCTCCAATGGAAGTGACAAAAAGGCCTTACTCTACTGCTGAACCTTAATGGATAAATACTGAACGCTGGCAGCCCAGTGTTCTGCCATTTTGAGAGGGAAACATGAACATGGTAGCATAATCCAATTAAAAAGCCAAGCCAATCTCTCCAATCCCTCTAATGCAGGTTTCTCAACCTCATCAACTTTAAGATGTACGGACTTCAATTCCCAGCTGGGGAATTCTGGGAGCTGAAGTCCACACATCTTAAAGTTGATGAGGTTGAGAAACTCTGCTCTAATGAAACTCTTTGGCATGGTGCCACAGGCTCTCTGTTATCACCCTGCCTACTACAGCTCTTTCCCCCAACCCAATGAAATGTGAAAGGTTTCCCATCCATGCTGGGGTGCATGCAGAGGAGAAGTCAAGATGGAAGCTGCAGTTGCGCAATCAAAACCCCATCTCTTTTTTACATGTGTCGCCATGTCCATTAAAAAGGGGCAAGGCTTCCATAGTGTAGTTTCAGCTGCCATCTTGACACCCCTCCCCTCCCAGATGCCCCTGGTTTCTTCAGGCGCCCTGGAGAATTGTCTTTCCCACATAAGCTTGTGCCTGGATATGACCCCTGTTTGAGAGACAGCTTAAATGCAACAGCTGCATGAAAACATTGCTAGGTCATCCCTGCTCACCTTTTTTGTTGGTACTCATTCCAGCAATCGACCATACCTGATCCACGATATATGTTAGCTAGACGTGAGGCCAGGGACTTGTTTTCTCGCTCAAGCAGCCCAATCTTCTGTTGGGCGTCCTGTGGAAAGAGAGGTCAGCTGGTTGAGACTGTGTTTGTGTTTTGTTTCTGTTGTGACTTCATCCCAGATTCCTAGCCCCGTGCCAACATTTTTCACACCCTGTTTTTTCAACCACTCTCATTCAATTTGATAGGAAGAAATTGCTCCTGGGATCTTCTTCCCCAAAGAAGTACATGGCAAAGGGTCTGGCTGTCTTGCATTGACCTTAATTACAAGAAGATTGGGACTAGTGTTTAAAAATGAAATGCAAACTACTTAACCTCTTTTCCCAATTTAATTGGGACTTTGGTACTAAGAAGTGAGTGTTAATATCCCTCTACCCTCAAATGCTCTTAATTAATATTTCCCTATCCCCAATACTGTACTATTTTTGCTGCAAAGAGAATTACAGTTCTAACACTGTTGTATCCGGGCTGCAAACATCCAGGTGACCTCTAGGTAGCTGCTACAAAAACACCAATTCTTTGCAGCCATTAGTCATCCTCTGGATTTTTGATGGATGGATGGATGGATGGATGGATGGATGGATGATAGATAGATAGATAGATAGATAGATAGATAGATAGATAGATAGAAATAGATGCTTAATGATATGAACTGGTTACTTTTTCATATAATTTGTACTATACTGAATTTCTGAATCAATACAAGTAATGATGCAAGTACTAACAAGAACAAAAATAACGCATTTCATTTAATTTAAACTACTCTTTAAAAAGTTGTATACCAAAAAATTAAACAATACAAACTAAAAAAGAAAGGAAAAAAAAACAATTAAAAACCCAGTGAAAATGAAAGCGGAAAATGGGAAAAAACAGCCACTACGAATCACGAAAAAGAGAAAAAAGCTAGCATACCATGATACAGTACAATTGATTTTTTGATTTCTTTCACTTCCACTACTTTTCTATGATATCAGAGTAATATGATCTCTATATGAATCATTACAATTCAATTTTCCAACAGTGCATGGAGATTAAGAGTATGTGGAATCATTGGTCTCTCTCAATCCCATTAACCCCAAAATCATAGAGATTCATCTTCTCCAATCTGGTGTGGTCCAGGTATTGTTGGGACTGCAGCTCCTAGAGCCCTTAGCCATCATGGCAGCCCTATGGCAGTTGTGGTCCTAACTGTAAGTTACTACAGACTTAATCATGACTAAGAAGGAAAAGAGAATTATATGGGTCCCTTGAGTTAGGCTAAGGGAAGATAACCTGATGCTCTTTGAAGACTCAAAATGCCATCAGCCTCCACCAGCTTGGCCAGAGATCAGTAATTATAGACATGCAGGGCTTTAGGATGTACAATCTTTCCTTCTCTAAGACTGTGGACATTGTTTTCTCTTTCTCTCTCCCACTTCCACATGCAATGGTTTCATTTATAACTTTGGGCAATGATTCTACTAACGTTGGAAAGAATGTTTTGTAAAACTCTAGAATGAGAAATAGTCTAAACCTGGAACTTTTTTTTTCTGATTTAACATCTTAATTACATTGCATCCTTCCTGAGGTTCGTATGGATTCTCCGTCCTATCTTGCTCCACAATCTTGGGGAGTTTTAACTTCTGAAGAAAGGAGAGCATTTGATTAGCCTTACCAGAAGAGTAAAAATCTAAACATTAAGCTCTTTCAGTAGCTTATTTAAAAGCAAAATGTTCTTCTTTTTTAATCACAGTTCTGAACAATACTTTTTTAAAGTGATGATTTATTTTTAGGATGAATACATTTTGATATTGCTTCTGTAATAAAAGATCCAGAAATAGTTGTATCCTGAGAAAAGCTGGAGGTGTCTCCCATATTGTCAAGTTCTTGGGATCTGGTTTACTTCTAAATTAATATGGATCAGATTGGGCTGGAAAATTTTAAATTCTGACCTAGCACTAGATGAAGATGACCTGTCTTGGCTCTAGGCTATGATTTGCTACCCATGGTTTGCTGAATCAGCCACAATACCTAAGTTATCTTGCTAAACATCACATCTTCTTAGCAACCTCTTTTTAGAGTTTCAGACAGGAACAGTGGCTATCTCTGCTAGGTGTAAATGGAGGTTTTCTGCATATAAATAACAGGTTTATTTGTTGAGCTATGATTGCTTCTCACGGAATTGCAAACTATACACAGATCTGCCTATAGACGCTTAGGTAGGGCTACTGGAGTTATCTTTATTGCCATCGAATGGTCATCTGGATTTTTGCACCCCAAATATGGTAGCCCTGTGCTAGGCCAACCAGACACCTTCTTAGTTCCCTTGATTATACAACAACTCAAAGATCACAACTTTATAGGAGGTAACAAACCAAACTTTGACGTTAAGAGCAAGCATATGATGCTGCTCAACTGTCTTTGTTTTTTCTTTTCTAAGAAAAGCAGCTTCAGTCAAGAAGTATTGTGGGGTGAATGTTAACCCTTTCCACACTGCTGATTCCCTGTTCCATTGTCCCTTGGCACTTGTTGCTATGGATTTTAAGCCTGTGCTTGTAAGGCCAAATGCAGAATTTACCCAAATGAAATAAATCTTAGTTTAAGATGGTCCACTATCCTTCCATAACAATGAAATATTAGACAGAAAAATCTGGATTGCCTCAATGACTGTATTCTCAGTAAATATTAGATCATTGCCTGTTTTAAAGTTAAACTATTTGGGGGAGGGGGAAACAAACTTTTCAAGGGAGTGCAGAGAAAAGGTTAAGGATTCTGTCTGCTGCCTCATTTTTCTGGGGCAGGAGGGAAGAGGGAAGTGAGAAAAATCAAAATTTAAGTAGTAGAAGATGTCCTAGGTAGCATCAGTAGCAAAGGGAGGTTCCCTTACCTGTATCTTGGAAACCTTGAAGTAGTGATGAGCTGGTGTATTTGGAGAAATATTATCTATCTTGCTCCTGGCTGGAGAAAGCAGATAAAAGATTTGGGTGAAGAGACATTCTCAGCCCCACTAGATAGACCAAATCAGAAAATCAACTCACAGGAAGACTAGAGCTACACTTCATTGAGATAGGCTACAATGACAGAATCTTGAAAGTCTGACTGTGCTATCCCTCACTTCCTTCTTTGTCAGCCTTCCTAGGTAGAACCAGACAAGAAACACAACCAAATGAGCTAATTCTACTTTACTGTAAAACTACATTAACCGAATCTTGCAAGTCTGAAAGTACAAATCTCCCGCCATCTCCTTTACAGCCTGAGAACTTAGGGAAGGTCCCTTCTGAGCCTCTTTCTCCACCCATTATGCAGCTGCGGGCTATGCCCTCTCTTATCTGACCATTCCATAGGCAGTATCTCTTCACCCATTTCTCAAGGTCTTTCTCACATACCATTACATTCTTATATCCCAGTGAATCAGGGAGGTGTTAGTCTAAGCTGCTTCCAAATATTATCTTGCTTCCCAGGAATGCAACGAATGTTTCGGCTCTCTTTGCCTCGGTAACAGTTCTTGTATATTTCTGTCAAGGTCATCTCCCTTACCCTCTATAAACAGAGCACCTCCAAACATGCTGGAGTTGTTCCCAGCTAGCAGAGCCAAAGGTGATGTGTTGCTGAGGGCAATATGGTCCAAGAGCACAGATTGACAGAGAGCAAATTTTGGCAATAAGTTGCCCACCAAGTACAGTTTGGACACCCTTAGCCAATCTGGAAAGCATGAACCTGGTGAAGGCACCTGCCCCATGGCAAGCTACAAGATGACACAGTGGCCAATCTATTAGTGGTCTTGTGGCATCTAGGTATAGGTGTACCTACAGGTCTTCTGGGATATGCTAGATGGAATGAGTTTGACAAGGTAGGGTTTGAATGGGCTATACTCTGACCTGTGACAATTGAACTGAAAAATGCTGTTGTTTAAGATATCAACACTCCACTTTCCAACTGAAATGTTTCCACTTGATTTTGTTCCTAGATAATACTTCCTGGTGACACAGCACAATTTTCCATTCCTGATCTGATCTGCCACTCCAATTGCTGCCTCTGACTTTAGATATACCTGAATTTATAGAAATGCACCATAAGTATGTTATTGGATGATTTTATATGAACTCTACCTCAGATCATCCAATAGTATGTGATCATCGTATCTTTTCACCAGTTGTAGTGCAAGCTTTTTTTTAGGATTCAGTTTCCATCATCGTCTTGTGGGGAACTATCCTGAAGACAATTTGGCAGCTTTCCCATCCTGGGTGCTCTCCTGATGTGTGGAACAGTTCCCAGAATTCTAAGCAAGGCTGAGGGATTCTGGGAGAGGAAGTCCACACATTTGAACTATGGCCTAATTGTTGGTAGGTGTTTCTTGGCTACCATAATCTGACTCATTCACATTTCTGTGATACCACAGGAGGAGTTATCCAACTTTCCAGAGACCGTATTGGTATATTATGCAATCTCACGGCTAACTTAATTATGTTTTTGGTATGGTATGGTTTTGTCAGTTAACCAAACATTCTAGGTTTGCATGACAAAGCAAACCTACGGTTGTGTTCGAACAACATGCAAGTTAAAATGTGGTTGAGTTATTGTGTTATTATTATTCTGTATTATTCCATACAGGGTAGAAACATAGTGAGTGTGAGCCTTATACGCTAAGCTGTACTTAACTCATGCAAGAATTACACGAACAGAATCTGACAAAAGATTAAGCAACGCAGTATTAAGAAACCCACCCAATGGAAAGGAAGGCAATAGTGGTTTATTTAAAACCCCCATTTTCAAGTAGGTTTTCTTCCGTCTTCGAGAAGGTGTGTATGGATATCAACACAGCTGGTCTAAATGGCCCTTATTACTTTTTGAAAATGGGAGAATAAAGTTTTTATAATTAGTTAATTGGACAGTTATCCTTTGAGAGCTGTAGGGAGTACAGAATGATAGGTTTGTGGGTGTGGAGTATCTTACTAGACACGTCCCACCAATTATTTAGCTGCCTAAAGACACATTTGCTCCAGCTGCTCTTTGCATAGAGTTTAATGCTATTGTTTTTGTGTGGTTTTGGACTGCTAATGCAATTTTAAAATAAAGAATTCCTTTAATGCTTTCTGATGTTTTAATTTTCTGCTGCAAACCCCTTTGAGCAGTGGAAATATAGTCTATAAATCTAAGTATAAATAAAAACCAATCAGAACAGGACAGCCATGCTTGTAAGCAGCTATCAGGAGGTGATGGAATTGTAATAATGGGGGAGAGAAACAACTGCAAAGGGGAGTAATCACTGGGGGGAAGCATAGGAAATAATCAGAGGGTAGATGAAGATTTTTGCAGTTATTAGAACAAAGTCTTGGTGATGTTGATGAAAACATGGCAAGAGTAGGTTAGCTTTTCTCTGTCTTGTATAAAAAAATTACTTCCTCCCACATACATTGCCTTTCTATCGTGCCATCTAAACTGGTTTTAAAATATGTGTGTGTGTGTGTATGTGTGTGTACTGTGTATACACACACATATATATGTTGGCCTCCTTGCTCTGTTCTACTTTTAGCCTTTTGCCAGGCTAAATTCTAAGCCAGGATTATTTAGTCATGCCTCTAGAGCAGTGTTTCTCAACCTTTGCAACTTTCAGATGTGTGGACTTCAACTCCCAGAATTTCCCAGCCAGCCTTGCCAGCTGGGGAATTCTGGGAGTTGAAGTTCACACATCTGAAAGCTGCCAAGGTTGAGAAACACTGCTCTAGAGCCATAGTTTGCATAAGGCACTAAAGAGTGGGCAGTCCATCTGCATGTCATACTAGGTTGAAATCAAATCGGCTGGGTTACAGCTCAGCTTGATGGGCAATCCCTTCCAGGCCACTGCTTGTCCTATGAACTATCCCAGGAGCTTAAACAAAGTCAAGGACAACAGAGAAATGGTTGAAACAGGGGAACAAAAGGGTGGCCTGAGGACTGCACAGTCTGCCAGCACCCTTTCAGTGACCTCTGGGGCTTTCTCAGAATGAGGGGGACCAAAAATGCCAGCTTTTTTGGGCATTAAAAAAAAACATTTGCAGAAATTTAAGACCCCTGTTTCATCCCCTAAAAGCCTCCCCCTCTTGATGGTTCCAGACCCACCTGTTTTCGGAATGCAGCCCTTGGTTTGCTGCACTCAGCCTGGTGCGGCTCTTGAGTAGGCAACATTCTGATTCAGAATAAGCACAGATGCTGGTTACCTGGGCTCACTTCCTTGAATCGTTCCTTCGATGTGCTTTCTCACCAGCTCTTGCTTATTGCTTGTAACATCCCCCTAATTTCTTAGTTGTGCTGGTTGGTCTATCAAAGGCTGTGGTAAAGCTATGATTTTATGGGTTGAATCCCATAAAACCCAAACCATAAACCCAAACGGAAAACCCTAGGCCTGACTTTGAAATAAATATGCCTGAGTCCCTCCTGTGGATTTTAACACTAAACAAATGAAGGATTGCAAGAAGCCTACCCAATTCTATTTTGCCTCGAAAAGAGAATTCTCCCGTGCGGGTTGGCTTCTTCTCCGAGATGAGTCTTTGCCTAGAATCAGCAACGACCACTGGGAATGTGACAACTTCTAAGCTGCTCATTTTTGCACAGCTGCTCTCTCTTCTCAGATCCCAAACAAAAAGACAAAGCTGTGGGCTCAGCTTCTGCACCACACCTCCCCTTTGGCCAAGGTTGCCATAGAAGTCCCAGCTGTGACATCACCTACTGTGAAATGCCATAAGAAGACAGTATGGTGGTCCCCGACTCCCTGCCTTGTGTGGCATTCAGATAATCTCCCGACTGCTTGCTCTGGGCTGTTGCTCAGAGGCAAAGTTCCAGCTTAATCTTGAAGACCCCAGGTTCAGTCCTTACCTCTCCAGGCAGAAAAACTCTACCTAAAAGCCTAAAGAGCTTCAACCAATCAAGACAGATGGACCAATACCTGGAAGCATGTTGCATTCAAGAAAGTAAGACTCGATCCCTTGTTCCAGAGTACAGGGCATGGAGTTATGGATTTAAGTCACAGGAAGGTAATACTGATTCAAAGTCAGAAGAAATGGTGGGCTCCCCTTCACTACATGTGGACAAGCAGTGGTTAGACAGCCATCTATCCAAGATGCTTTAATTTACTATAGATGCCCGCATTAAGCAATGACGTGTGTGTGGATTTGATGGACTGAATGGTGTCTTCCATGTCTGTGATTTTATTTTTGGTTTGATTCAGCAACTTCTGGTAAAGCTACTTACTAGGGACCCCTTGAAAAACTTTGCTTTAAAAAACACTGGTCAAAGAACTGGTTCTTCCTTCTCAGGGTAATCTCTGCCAAAGGGACTTAAGGAGACAATCCCCAAAAAGATACGTTATGAAAAAGAATATGATAAATACTCCCCCATCCCACCCGGAAGCAGTCTTTCAAAAGAACTGTGTACATTTCAGGAGACAAAATAAATTGTTTAGGTCCTATTTGCCTTTCATAAAGCCTTATTTGTCTTTGGTACATACCTGTTATATATCTATCTGGAATGGCAAGTATAAGATAGCTTAGTAATTAACATGCATTGAGGAACACATACTCAGAGTACAAAAATGTTAACATTATCTTAAGTGCAGATGCAGCTTAAGAGCATCCTGTTGCTGTGAGTTCTGTAGGTCAAATTTGTGTCAGAGAGCTAAGTGGCACTTTGTGTTCAGGCAGCTTTTGAAAAATTGAAACATTTGTTATCTCATTTGTCAATGCAATTTGACCAACTTTTATGTCATTTTTCCACATAAAACAACCAAGAGTCTGACAATAATTCTGAAATAGAATAGATTGCATTCAGAGGTTTTCTTTCTCCCATAAAAAGATAAAATCTGAACAATATAAAAATAAAAAGCAGGTAAAACCACCTAAGAATCAAAACAGCCAGCAATAACAATTGAACAATGACTAAGTAAACGTGTTAAGAATAAGAACAGCTGTTTTTAAAAACTCAAATTCTCCTTGCCTTATTCAGGGTTCATTCAAAAACCCTGCTCCTACTTTGTAGGTTATAAACTGCCATGAAAGCTCAGTTACATGCAGCTGGTCTCTATGTTCCAACAGCCCAAAACTCTTCACTTGTGACAGTGGGAACCCCTCAAATAACAGTCTGGGGCTCCAGAGCATTTGGCCTGGAGTCCTTAGCCAGAAAAACAAGCAATGGCTTCTGCTCTGCTATCCTGGGAAGGAAAGTGAGGAAGGGAAAAAGGAGGGAATGGGGTGTCAGGAAGAAAAAGAACTTTCCCCCACCCATTTTTGGCTCTGGTAAGCTGTTTTGAGCTCTACTTGCCATGGACAGCCAACCCGCTCCAGACTATGGAGCCCCTGATAGAAAAAACTTGCCCATCCTTGACTTGAGAGTTTGGGAGGTTTTGGCCAGCCACTTCTAATCACCCTCAGGATTGTTGTGGTGTGGTTATAAAGAGGGAAGGGCCTCATATCTGTGACCTTGATTTCCCCTCATACAAAAGTCAGGGTAAAAATACAGTAGGTATATAAAGGCAGAGGAAAAACAAACAATACCTTGTATTGTCGAAGGCTTTCACGGCCGGCATATGATGGCTGGTGTGGGTCTTCCAGGCTGTGTGGCCGTGTTCTGGAAGTTTTGTTTCCTAATGTTTCCCCCCCCCCCCCGCTTTCGCCCCTCTCCATAGTGCTATACGTCGCCCGCCGCGGTGGGGGGTGCACGGTGGAGAAAACACTCACACCCAAAC